TTATCAATTTAATTTTAGGTGCACATTGATACAAATTTCTACCTTTGAGGGTGCAAATTGAGATTTTTTATCTTTGGGGATGCACATTGATACAAATTTCTATCTTTGAGGGTGCAAATTGAGATTTTTGATTTTTGGAGGTATAAATTGAGATTTGAACAATCTTTTAGGGTGCAAAATGAGATTAACCCTTTTTTTTTTGAACCGGACGGAGACTGCAATTAACCATAATAAAGTTGGTCACTAACCATTTCGCCACCAAAGCAACCAAGAATCTCAATCAAATGGCCAATCTAAACAAACCCATCCTGCTATTGAGATCGATATTGATGAAAGCCCCAGCTAGCAGAGGTCGAGAAGAAGTCAAGTTAAGCCATGGCTGGGGTCATTGCCATCAGGAATCTGGGCTTGTGGTTTGTGAATGTTTTTGCCCTAGCGTTAGTGTCTGTTGCGAGCGGAAATTCCGAAGGGAATGCACTCTATGGGCTACGGCGGAGCCTTTCTGGTCCAGACAACGTGCTACAGAGCTGGGATCCGAACCTCGTCAATCCTTGCACCTGGTTCCACATCACCTGCAATCAAGATAACCACGTTACTCGCGTGTATGCTATGCTTTCCCTGATTTCTCTCTCTCTCTCGACATGTCTGTTTCTCATCACCCAGTTGGGTTTGATTAATTGAGGGATAGATGCACTGGCTATTGTCATAAAAGGGTCACTCTCCAATTTTCCATACAGGCAGTGCACACATAATTTATATGGGTGGAAAGAGTTTGTTGCTTAGAGACAGTATGCCAGTGATGATTAGATATATTGATTTTAGAGAAGATTTTGATGACGCGGCTGTGATTAAAACAAGTTAGTCTCCAGTAAAACAAATAAGAATACCCAAAGGATCAGGTTTAGGTTCTTATCTTTTTTGCCCCAAGTATGGATGAAATGGTTAGGAATATGGAGTTAGAGTTTCATAGTGTATGCTGTTCATTGTATGCTGTTCATTGTTAATATCATCTTGATTGATGAAAGCAAAAACAGGAATTAACATAAGGTTGGAATTTGAGGAAAATCATTGAATGAAGGAAGTTTAAAATATGAAGGAGTAAGACCTTATAAGAGTTTGGATATGGTTTGGCTGATAGATTTAAAATAGTAAGACCGAAGTGGAGAGGTACTTCTTGCATATTATACGATCTAAGGTGCACTAAAAACTAGAAGGAAAGTTTGATAGATGGCTATACGACCAGCCATGCTTTTGCAGTACAGAAGGGTAGACAATTAAAGAAAATGACTCTAGATGAATTGAGAATGCTTAGATAGAGGCGTGGCAAGATAAGAAAAGATAGAATTGGAAATTGTGAGGTGATAGGAGCAGGACAAATTGAAGACAAATTGAGAGGTAACTAATTAACTTGGTTTGGACATATGCTACAAAGACCACTCGGGACATCAAAGAGGAAAAATAGAACAGAGAGTTTTTGACATAATCCAACAATGCAAAAGATTCATTTAGCCTATCCGAGTAATTGAGACACGGCATTTTTTAGTTTGGCTTATGGCTACTTATCGAAGCATAAAGAATATTGCTGTATAATGGTTTGCCTAACACCCAGTTTTTGTGTCAGTGTTTTGAAGTCTTATCAGTTTCCCTTTTTGTTCGTGTCTTTTTCTCAAATTCAAGTTTCTTATAGATTCAAATTATATGCCTTTTTCTTTGTGCTAATTATGAGTCCAAAATTCATTACCTTAAAGTACTTTTCTGGTTCCTGATCTTAAGAAACTTGAAAATCTGGAGTATCTGTGGTATCTTCTAATTCTGGAGTGTTCTATTTGGTATTAATGAATGCATTGGTGGGCATCTTAGTAATGCATTAAAGCAAATACTTTCTAACCATCCATTAGTTGGTTGTAATCATCTGAATGGTTCTTTGTGGGCTGTTGGTTTATATATGTCAACCTATAGAAACACTAAGTGCACCTCTTGTTAATGCAGGGAGCTTTACAAAAATAACATTCAAGGGCCAATCTCCAGCGAGCTTGGTAATTTGAAGAACCTAATAAGCTTGGATATGTACGACAACAATATCTCGGGGACCATTCCTCCATCCCTGGGGAAGCTGAAATCTCTTGTTTTTTTGTGCGTTTGACCCTATACTATGGTTAAATTTCAGTAGGGGATTCAAGAACAAGTATGCTAGCTACTGTAAAAGAGAATAACTAACATATTGGTATGACTATGTTTTGATATGCGTGAGGCAAAAGTATGCTAGCATGCACACTGCACACACTTTGATTCACATCTACAACTATTGATTAGGAGCAAAGATCAAAATTTCATTTCGAAACGGTCGAAATGTCCGAAACATTTCTATTTCTAAGGAGACCGAAACGAATCAGTGATGGAATTGAAATTCTAATACTTCGAAGTGTATCATAATGTTTCGATGTATTTTGTAATATTTCAATGTATTTGCACAATTGTTTCGGAATATTTCAAGATATATTTTGACCAATGTTTGTGAAAAACAATTCTGAACTTTTTTATTTTATTTCATTCTGTTTCAGAAAAAGATCGAAACGTTTTCGTTTCTTAGGTGACCGAAGTAATGCACTGAAACGAAATTTTGATCCATGATTAGGAGCTATTGATCGGTAGTTTTTGTCGGGCGGCTTAATGATAGTCAGTTGACTGGGTGAATTCCTCGGGAACTTGCTGATATTTCCAGCCTAAAAGTTGAGTAAATTGCTCTACCGATTGTTTACTTTTGAGTTAGTACTACATTCATGTAGGCTAGATTACAAAAATATCTGTATGTCTTTTCCAGGGATGTCTCAAACAACAATTTGTGTGGAACAATTCCTACTTTGGGTCCATTTGAACACATCCCACTAAGCAAGTGAGGTTCCCTTGATTTATATCCTCTTCCATTTTATGTTATTCCTTTTCTAGCCCCCACATCCAGTTGAATCAGAGATGAGGTTGTTACTCTTGCGTTGAAAAATGGACATGGGATATTGGAATGCTATCTTCCCCACTATGTTGTTGTAGTTCATGTTTATTAATACATTAATCTGATGAACCTTGCATATTGTGCCTTGGATTTTGTGACTTCATAGCTATTTTAATTTAGATGCTGCACATTTGTTATAGTGATATGGGACATCCAATAAGGGTCAACTAAAGTTCTGATAGATTGTTTACAGGTTCACATAATTGGAACTTATGTTGACTGCTCATTTATTCTGTTGATAAATCTGATCTATATGTTGTCCTACTAAATGCAATATTTGACAATGTTTTCTTTTTGGGTTAATAGCACTTGATGATGTTAACATAGTTGTAATCAAGAGAATAATCAAAATCAAAGAAAGTTGTGGCCGGTTAATTTCCAAAAGGAAATTGGGTTTGATGTAGGACAGCAGTGGACCCAAAAATTTAGCACTGTTCAAGGCTGTGAACAATACCCGCAAACAGTATTTTTGGTGTAGGATGTGTTATTTTATGGTTATGGTTTGATAGATTATTTGGTAAAGGGGTAGAGTTTTGTAGACCCCTTTTAAGGATATAAAGAATAAAATTTCAGATATGATCATGGGTTTAGAACTTGAATAATTGCAAAAAAATAGAAGAAAGAAGAAGAGACCTAGGAATCACTCCTAGGGTTTGATGAATCACATCACACCTAGGGTTTGATGAATTGCATCACACAATCCCATAGCATATAATTGCCAAAAATTTCTGACAAATATCTCTCTCCCCCTTAAATTAAAGCATTACATCTCTAATAGACCTCTAAATATTCGCTAATCCTAAAAGGATTAGAACTTCAAAGACTCTAGGACTTCAAAGACCCTAAAACTCAATAAGACTCGAGTAAAAGTATGCAAGGTTCAGTATGAGTCTTTGTCTTGATGGCACGCCAAATTTCATAGTTCTTCATGTCTTTGAATTTATCTTTTATCGAACATCTTATGGATTGCATCATTCTCCTTTAAATGGAAAAAACTCGACCTCGAGTTTTGAAGTGTCGGAAGTATGGAAGTCCATAAACTTAGATCTAGCATTTGTGGTAGTCTTCGAGGAATCTGAATACGGTGCTTCATTTTCTTCTTGAATTGAGGAAATAAAGAAAAAATTTAGAGATCGATTTTCTCAATTCGGTTGTTAAACTTTTTTGGAATCACAAAATCAATTAATGGAGTGAAGTGAATAGAAAGAACATCTTTGAATTGACATTGAACATTACGACTTGTAGTGTGCCTTTCAATTGAAGCCTTCCCATTATTTATGGTGATATCTTTTGCTATAACCTCGAACTCCTTTTGATCGTTGTTAGAATATGATAGCATTGGTGGATTTTTAGGCTCACTTAAATTCTTGGAAGATGCAAACAAATCAAGCCCTTGAGACATTGTTGTTGCCAATCGAAAGTCATCAATGTAAGGAATTTCATTAGGCAACTCTTTTGGCACTATTTTGGAGCACTTAGCAAACACCTTAGTCATGTCTAAGGCAACTTGGATTCCGTGCCAACTGCTTTTCAATATTCTCAGGCTTCACAACATAATTATTTTCAGAATACTCAATTTTCTCCGTAGTCTTTGGACAAATAATTAATGATCTGGCCAGAGATTGTGTAGACTCATCTATAGGATCTCCTCCACCCCGAATTATTGCATTGCTTGTTATTTTGGGCTGCCTTTAATGAACCTTCTTTGACTGCACATTAGGATGTAAAGAACTTTGAGTTTTAGCCCAATTTGAGGAAGAAACCCTTGGTGTATTTCCTCAATTATTAAAACTTAGGTACATCTCCGAACCAAGTGCCAATTGGAATGCATGCTCCAAGCTATACAGTGGCTGCCATTGCAATTCTGCCCTTATATCAGCACTTAAACTAGCCCTGAATCAAGCAAGTGTTTGACGAGGATCTTCAACAATCTGGCTTTTCAACATTAGTGATGGGGATCGTGTAGGAATTATATAGATATTATAGATTAATTACGAAAGTTATTTAGATACATTTAATATTTATCTTTTAAGTAATTTCTTTTAACTTATGAGGGCTTATTTGTCATTATTTATTTCTTTTAGGATTTTAGTTTCCCTATATAAAGGGATGCATGCAAGGGTTTTATTTAGACTAGACTTTGATTATTATTGAATACTGATATTGCTTCTTTTTCAAAATTTTTTCTCTTTTGTCATCCCTTTTTTCTTTTCTTCTCTTCTCTTGTCATTCCTAATTCTTTACTTTCTAATCTACATTAATTTAATATCAGAGTTAATAAGATGTATATCAATTAGTTCTTCAAATCTTTGAATGTAGTCCATCACAAATCTATTGCCTTGTTTTAGATTAATAAGTTTTTTGCACAACTTACCGTAATAATTTGATTTCATATACTTCTCTTGAGACTTAGCTTTCATCTCTTCCCATGTGTTGATTGATGGCAATCCCAATCTTCTTTGATCTTCTTCTACATCAAACCACTAAATTTTTGTCAACCGTACAAGTTTTATCTTCACACATCTGCTCATTTATTCTGATGGGAAAGAGTAATAAAATTTATGAAAAAAAAATAATAAAAAACCCTCTCTTTTTCTCCGTCTACATCTATCTTCCCCTCCACCCTACCCCCCTTGTTTGTTTTTTTGTCCTACTCCCTTCCTCAAATCGACCATCATCCCATCGTCAAAACCCACCCCAACACAAATCTCAGTGCCCCACCTCCACCCTCTACCACCGCTGCAGGGGTACCTTCACCCCCAAATTCCATTCCCATCAGACACATAAATGGAACTCACTGGTTTTTTTAGTAATCCAACTCTCAATTTCTATTCTCTCCTCTATGTGTGTGTGGTTCTCCACAAGATTTTGATTTCAATGTTGAATTTCGATCTTGGTAATGATTTTGGTTTTGTTTTTTATGTTAGTTTCTATGGTCGTGATTTTGATTTTGATTCGTGTTAGATTTGGATTTGATGTTATGGTTTCCATTTTGATTTTGTTCCATATGTGGGAGGTGGTTTGAGTTTGAATTGGGTTGAATTTTTGTGCATTGGTGATGACAATTAATTGTATTGGGTTGTAGGTGATGGTCAGGCGGTGGACTATTGGTGTGTTCATGTGTAATTGTGTGTTGTTTGCATAGAGAGAGGGAGTTACTGAGAGAAGTGGTGGGTTTTAATGCATGTAGTGCATTATTGGGTATGTTGTGTGTGGCACACAGAGAGAGAGAGAGAGAGAGAGAGAGCAAAGAGAATGAATCGGAGCATGAACAAGAATAAAAATAATCGAGAGAGAAACAGAGACAATTTTCTTAAGAGAGACGGTGTGTGAAGTTGCTCCATTATCCGAAGTTGCAGCAGATCTACACAACACTAATGCTTCTAATGTGCCTACCAGAGCATGCGAATACTTTGTGGACAATTGCTTCACATCAAACGGAACCCCACCAATTTCTCCCATGGGCTTGTCTTCATAGCCTCCTAAACGACGAAGAGATAAAGGCCCTTGTTTAGTATTAGGCTTGGAGACTAATTGTATGTAGATAACAATGTAGTATGAATAGTAGGAGTGTGTGTTTGTGTGTAGAAAGAGGGAGACAAAGATCAGTGATGGTGGGTGATCAGTTACTTTGGGGGTTTTTTGTATGATTTTTATAGGTGATAGTTGAATTTGATTTTTTTTTTTGATTTTACGGGTGATTGAATTGTTTGATTCCAATTGTTAACTAGTTTGATTTAATGTGAATCGAGTGTAATTTTGCCAAGGATCGAAATATCGTTTCGTAGTAACGTAGTACCGTTTCGATTAGCTTGAAAACGGAAAATATTTCGGAAACGCAGATAAAATATGAAAATATGTGGAAATACAAATACAATATATTTATTTATGAAGATAAGCTTAATAATAATTGAGCATATTTTTTGGGTTAACATCTATTTACACAAAGATAACATGAAGTTGGAGGGGGGAAAAAAGGCTTGACATGAGGCAGAAATCACTTCAATTAGTTTCTAACACTTGTGGTGTATTTGGTAATGTTTTTGTTTGTTTTGTGATAAAAAGTAAAAAATATAAAACATGTTTTTTAGTCATTTATATATAAAAAAATTATGAAAACAAAAGTAAAAAGCATGCTTGGTATTATACCGAAAACTCACCACCTAACACCACCAAAGCCCATCATCACCAGCCACCCAAAACCCACCACCCAACCCCCGAAAATCCACCATCCAACACCTATGAAGCATAGACACTCTTAAGAAGAAGATGTATTCGTGTCAGACACCGACATTCTTTGGACATTCTCGGACACGTATTTGATACTCTTTTACTTGTGTTCATACTTAAATTATGAAATTTTAATTTCGGACACGTGTTCAACACTTCGTTGGTGGCGTGTTTGACACTAGTTTACACCATAAACAATAAATTGTATTGACAAGTGACCAACAAAACTTACAAATTTGACTAATAGGTGTCTTATATTATGAGAGAACATGTAATTATCAATACTAGACATATTAAAATTGTAATCAAAATATAGTAAAAGATCCATAAAAATTCTAAAAAAGAGGAATTGAGAAAATAAAAGTAATCATTTAAATTATATATGTTGGATACACGTTGTCTACAAAAAAAATTGATGATTAACTATTATGATGCTTTAGTCTAGAAATTCATACTAGATGACTAAACATAACATTTACAATTTTTC